TTATTGATTTTGTGAAAATGCATGTGAAACTTTTTAGGAACTGCTACTATTTGCAACTAATCACTGGTCAGGTACTTCTGAAAATACTTGAATTTAATATTGTAGGACCGATTGTTTTGAGCAATTCAGCTGAAAAGGACGCATAAAAATAAGTTGTAGACTGATCACTGGGCATGCCTACTGCTACTGTATACTGTAGTTATACACTATGATACGTATCTGACTAGGCATAAGTCAAGAACTGCGATATTATGTATCGATCGATACAACTTTATTTACTCTAGTACACACACTTTTTATCACAATATGTCCAGTTATTTACTGTTGTGAAAAATAGGAAATTACGAGTAACAATTAAAAGTACGAGTTGGTTTTGTGTCTTACCTTTCGGTGATGCGCTGCCATACCTCAGCTTTCTTCTTGACGGTTATGACAGCGCTAAATTTGCTCTGTATTACATGGATATTGGCAATTGCCAGCTCCACAAGAACTTGACACTCCTTCTCCGTGAAATTCGGACGTCTTTTAACTCGAAAAATCTCGTAGATAGCCTCGTTATCCATAGAGTCGAGCTGTCAGGTCCAACTGAGCAGGGGCGTAACAAACGGGTTTTCAATGTGTAAGCCCAACGATGAAGTGTGCTGCCGAAGGCAGCACCCCGAAGCGCGTAGCGCGAGGAGGGGGAGGTTATGGGAGGGGTTTTTTCCGCCTCCCATTGGTGGGGGTCTGGGGGGTCTCCCCCAGGAGAATTTTGTTTTCTAGAACACATGAGACGCGTTCTCCCTTGTTCTGGCGTCAGTTTTAATGGCCATTTTAAAGCAAGAAAATATCGTTTTCCCCTATTATTTTACAAATATTTTGCTTCTTTTTGGGTACGAAGGGATTGGTACTCATCTACGCCAGTTCTATTATGGAGTTCGGTAACATTGTTCCATGGAAAAGAAAAATCTAAAATTATGTGGATTTTGGGATACTTGTTGTAAGAGTGTGACGTTTCTCCTCGCGACTGTGACTCCGGTTGCGCAGAGACATGAGACTTGTATCACAAGCTAGCACTAGGAATAGTTTAACGTTATGTACATAAGAACCGATATACTGGTTACCATGCCGAACATATATGCTACCCTCAGTGCTACATTTGTTAGAGACTTTGATTGCAACGAAGCATTTTAGTTGGCGGTCTTTATAGCAGATACAAAACATCTGTCATTGCTTTTTAATATTTTATATCATATAGTCTATGTTGCGTTTATTTTATTTTTATTTTGTCAAAAATGATGTGTAAGCCCGGGCTTTTTTGCTACATAGGTTGCTACGCGCCTGTAGAGTGTCGTCTGCGTGAACCTCCACGCTAGAGAGTTCCGCTTTGAAATACGCACATAGTATAATCGTTACATTGAAATACATTGAAATAAGATTGCAAGATTGCCGATGCTGGATCGATCATTCACTTCCGGTTTAAGTTACGTGCACGTAAATATTTACGGGTACCCGTAACTTTACGTACGCGTCGTGAAACGGCACCCTGGAACTCATGACCTACCGCGCCAAAAAAGGAAAATAATTTATTTGCACAGTTAAACCATTGCAGGCATAATATTTGTTGATAGATTTGTTACGCAAAATAAAATCAATAAAAATGCACTATGCAGTTTTTTGCCCTTGTATGACACATCGGTAACACTAGGGGAGACAAAAAGTTTGAAATGCAAATATGTATAAACTACTGTTGAAACCCATTAGTGATATGAATAAAAAGGGAATAATGGTCAATTGCAATCTAATTAAAATTAGATATCTCATTACATTACGTTATGACGTAGTGTAATGAGATATATGATTTTAATTAGATTGGGTTAATTGCGAATTAATGGGAAGATAATTGTTTATATAATGAACTTTGGCACTTCACAAAATATATAAGTGTGGCCATAAAAATTACGGCATATCTCGCGGACAAAGTGATCCACCGGAAAAGTTTACAAAAGAAATCACTATTTTGTCAAATATAGTATAATCTAACGAGTTATTTAAACTCAACTGTAAAAAGATATATGGGACCTGTCTCTGAAATAACGATAAGTAGATGATACCTGAACTAAATCGTTTGTATGATCTGTTAATAAGGAGTTTGGTTCATTGATGAAAGCCTACACATATCATTTTATGTGATTAGGTATATAACGGTATATAATTGTATGGGCTTGACTGAAAAATATTCAAACATTTCATCGGGCTATTTTGTACCGGTAAATGTATTTTATATACTCATTGACAAGGGATAAGCGACTGCAGTTCAAACGTACTTATGTGTCAACAAATGGCTTCCTGTTTCCAAGGGAATGGCTTAGTGTCACAGATAGGTTTTTGGGGATGGTTGGTAGGGTGGTTAAATTTATTTCACACTAGCTTTAAGTTACATTGGTCAATGCTACTCAACTGCTCGATTATTTCTTTTTATAACAGGCTCTATCTTTTGAGCATTCATTTC